TATATTGTGCATCCCTAAATAAAATGATTTCCCCCATCAGCCCCCTGAACTGCCTTTGTTCTCTCTTGCCAATACAGAGCAACTGGAACGAGATCACCGACAATTTCGATGATATGAACCTGAAGGAGTCTCTTCTCAGGGGAATCTACGCTTATGGTTTTGAAAAGCCGTCTGCCATTCAGCAGAGGGCCATCATCCCGTGTATTAAAGGTACACATATCAGACTGCAGAGGACAGTTTTCTGTCATTGAGTGAAATGATGCTCAACCATCTTTCGGGACTTACCCAAAAAAATGGGGATATTTTTTTTCCTTACTGATCACTCAATGATTTGATTAGTTTCATTTGAAGTTGAAGGGTGTGTGCGCGTGTGACGTCCATAAACATTTAGCTGTACGTCTGGTTTGTTAGCGTGTTACACAAAGGAATATTTAATCTGTTTCCTCACTGTTAGGCTACGATGTCATTGCCCAAGCCCAGTCAGGAACTGGCAAGACAGCCACGTTTGCCATCTCTATCTTGCAGCAGCTGGACATTGAGCAGAAGGAGACTCAGGCTCTGGTTCTGGCTCCCACCAGAGAGCTGGCTCAGCAGGTATGCTGTTCCTGAGGTCACGCGACCTCAACAGTGTCTCAGACCTAGGCAGCATACTGAGGACACTGTTCAAAAACGAAGGTACCATCTTTTAAAGATTTGTCAAACATTTCTAAACTTTTTCTTAATTTTTTGAAGATCTTTTTGTGGCTGGTGCAGTCTCTGTCCATGGCTGCATCGGCCTAAAAGATCATTTTGGCTGTCTGTGGAAAACTTGAGTGATATGATGGTATACCATCTTTCGGGACTGACCTATGCAATGGAGAGTTCCTTCTGATTTACTGATCACTGAACCATTTTCTGCACTCAACAGGCAGCATATCTTTTCTCAGCTATTCTGAAGTACTGTACATCTTTTTTTCTCCGTAGATCCAGAAGGTAATTCTGGCCCTTGGAGACTACATGGGGGCAACCTGCCATGCTTGCATTGGCGGGACTAATCTCCGTAGTGAAATTCAGAAGCTCCAGGCCGAGGCTCCTCACATAGTGGTGGGAACTCCAGGCCGAGTGTATGACATGCTGAACAGGAGACACCTGTGTAAGCAGAACTGGTTGGAAGCAAAAAAAACATTTTTCTTAAGGCTCAAATTCAGCCTTTTGGAGTAAATTTTCATTTTTTCCCTTCTTTTTAGCTCCCAAGTGGATCAAGATGTTTGTTCTTGATGAAGCTGATGAGATGTTGAGTCGTGGGTTTAAGGATCAGATCTACGAGATCTTCCAAAAGCTGAGCACCAACATTCAAGTACGTACCTCCAGACATGATCCCACGTCCTGTTGTCATCGATGCTGCTTGTTGATTGTGCTGGTGAACATTCTGTCATCCAAAAAAAGCTTAACAAACCACTGGACGTTTATTCCGTCCACGAAGCTTTTTCAATTACAGTCTGAATATCTGATTCATCTGTGTTCATTCAGGTTCACCCCGACCTGCTTCTATTTTTTTTTTTTCCTTTTTGTCTGACATCCTATATCCAAGATGGGGCCCAATTCTGATCTTTTCATCTCCATAAAACTCTTTATTTTTGTCGCTTCCATGTGTGAAACTAAATCGGATCTGTATCAGATATTTTATAGTCTCTGGTAGAGATGTCCCAATCCAGGTTTTTGCACTTCCGATCTGATACCGATATTTTTTTTTTGCACTTCCGATCCGATGCCGATATTGTTTTTGCGCTTCCGATCCGATACCGATATTGTTTTTGCGCTTCCGATACCGATACTGGGCGATACCAGCCTATCCGAGCATGTGTTTTAAGTTAAAGTATTTAGCCTTAGTTGTAAGACTCATGTTGAAAAGGGTTTTAGTACTCTTGATAACATCTAGCCAGCTGAATTAGGTGAGATTGAATAAAACACAATGCTTGGTAACAACAAACTTACCTGTTAAGAGATAAACACAAACTGGACAAAATTATGAATAGCAATCTGAAATTGCACAGTGAACAGTAAAACCGTAAACAGTTAAAGGTGCAAGTATTACTGTAAATTTTAATGAAAAATGCAAAACAGGGAAACACTGGCGCAAAATAGTGTAATGGATCGTTTCAATCTGTAAAATACGGATCGGCATTTTACATGCTTTGCTGATACGCATTTTTTTGCCAATATCGGCGTTCCGATACGTGGATTGGATCGGGACAAGCCTAGTCTCTGGTCTGGACACTTGTCGTATTTCATAGTCTCATCCAGGCTCTGACTGCTCCTTCACACAGAGTCCTCCAGCTCAGCAGCCACTGCTCCACTCAAACATGTTGAAAGTAGTTCTGGAAACCTAGTCCAGTGGATATTTTTTGAATTTTTACAGAATGACTATGACATGGATGACTGAGAACCTTCATCAGCATTCTGCTCTTTTACCATTTTTCTTTATAAATTCCCAGCATTTCATAAATATGAAGAATGTGTCATTACGTCAGTCTGTTAATTCCTGTATTCTGCCGTTTCCTGTCCGTAACCATTTACCTGGACACAGAGGGGCTTGTAATCTTGGATGAATCTTTAATTTGCGGATTGCATTGAATTGGACATAAACACCAGGCCTGGAAAAAGATGGTCATCTGATCTATATCAATAGAGAATGGGTCCAATTTTCAAAATGGTCAATAAAATTAAGAATTAATATTAAAGCCGACCCACCTGGCATTCTGGGTGATGTCGGCAGATCGAGCAGCAGCAGGGCTGACCTTTATTATCAAGGTAATTTATCTCTGATTATATCAAATTGGTCAATGAAACACTAGTTGCAGATAACAGGCTCCTCATTAAGCATTTTACTGCCATATTGCTCAGCTATTCACTTCGCTCACCGGCTGTGGCTGCCAAAGGCTTCAAAAAATGAGCATTATAGTTTTGTCTCTCGTTGGAGTCCATTTGACGTTGTATTTATGTGCTGATGAGTTAGACGGCCTCAGCTGAGCCTGGTCCCACCATCAATAAACGCATCCCTGCTTTGTGGACATGAATGTCAACTGTTGGCGATAATACGAGCTACGCATGCTCCTTCGTTTGATTCTAATCTAACGGCTTTTTTGCAATCCTTTATAATTTTGAATTTAAACCATACTAAAATGGCTAATTATCCACCTTAACAAGCAGAGCATTTCACAATCCGGTTAAAAAGGATTTTGACTCCCAAATGAAAATGGTCAGATCGTGCCATTTAATCTACAAAACAAATCATCCGATCAGATTAAAAATAAGTTGCATTCAGCAGCTGGGCCATAAGATCCCAGCAACAACAACAATTTTCTCAAGTTCACTTGTGAAAGTAAAAACAGGCTCTAAGAATGTCAACCATTCTGATCTGGGATCAGTTAAACTGTCAATCAGCGCCACCTTTGAAAACTTGCATCAGTCCATCGCTGCTCGCTTCATTCACTAAAACCTCATCCTGAAAGACATTTATATGCCGACTGGACTGTCAAGCAGCATGCCCCGATACTCTATCCATGTCTTGCTGATTCAGATCACAATTTTATATCTGTATGATGCATTTTTAGTCCGATTGGCCACTTTTACCTGTGATGGAAAAAGTAAATGCTACTTATCAGTATGGGGGTAAAAGCCGTCCAGTTTTCTTTGTTTCTTTTTAAACAGGTTTATTGCACTTTTTGTCAATTAAAAGGTAAATGCCATAGAACAAGAAGGCACATACATGAAAACAGCCATGATAATAATAGGAAAAAATAAAGTTAAAATAGTTTAGCTCATCATTCCAGCCGTCTACTTCAATGTTAACTTTTCTCAAAGAAATTACAGAAAACCTTCCAGATCTTCCAAATTTTGTCAAGCCTATTTTTCAATGTACCGTATCCTTTCTAAAGCCAAATAAAGAAATCCCTTTTAACCATTGCGAAGTCCTACAAGGTGAATCACTTTTCCACGAACAGGCTCTACATCTTTTGGCTTCCAAAAAACAAATGCTATGTAGGGATTTTTTCCTTTTTTGAAGGTCATAAAGTTATCTGTGGAAAAGTCGTTAAATTTTTTATTTTTTTTAATTAAGGCCTTAATTGGCATTAAAATTCATTAAATGTGTTTATTGTGACATTTAAAATGTGTTATTATAAAAGAAATGTTTATAAAAACAATTTCGTCAGACATATATCACGATATATTTGTGTGGACCTGCTTTCAGTTGATAGCAAAGCTGTATGTTCAGAAAAGAAGCTTGAGTCGGAGAAAAAGCTAGAGAATGGGGGGCTGGAATACGAGGAATTTAGGACATGGCTGCAGCCTGTGGACGGGTACCTGTTGGTGGCATTAAAATTATATCCAAGAGCATTAAAAAGCATTAAATTTGAGTTATTCATTCCTGTGTAAACCCTGATAATGCACGTATCTAGGATCCTGGGTTAAACCGGAGTTATATACTGTCTATCCATTTATAGTGTAGTAATTTAGCCCAATGTTCCTTGTATTTTTTACTTCTGAAACCAGCCCGAGTTTAGTGACCCAGTTTATTAGCCTTCCAGTTTCTTACCAGTCATCCACATTTTTCTTTAGTATTTTTTTGTTTTGTTTTTATCTGGTTTTATTTTTAACATCCGTGTAAGTGTGTTAAAGGTTTGGCTAAAAAGTGTAGTTTTAAAATGATGGGAACATCCCGTCCTTCTGCATCTACAGAAGTCTGCTGTAATTGTGCGATCCAGATGATTCTGTTTCACGCAATCATGGCAGCAGATTAAAACGCAGACGGAGATTATGGCGCACTGCACCGAAAATGAGCTGCAGTCGAACCTCTTTCTTAATGTTCATTGGCTGCAGTCTCAAGGTGAAGTGCTACAACCGATCCGACCGGTTCTGTCAGTTTCCAGTCTTCTGAAACTCCTTTCGTCTCCAGGTGGTCCTGCTGTCGGCCACCATGCCGGCCGACGTGTTGGAGGTGACGAAGAAGTTCATGCGAGACCCGGTCCGCATCCTGGTGAAGAAGGAGGAGCTTACCCTGGAGGGTATCAAGCAGTTCTACATAAACGTGGAGAGAGAGGTTTGTTTGCACATCTGACACAGAAACCTGTCCTTCAGTCTTCTCTTCAAAGCACCCTGCTCAAACTGCAGGAGCCGAGCCTTCTGGGTCTGGCTCCCGCGGCCGTGTAAGCACGGGTACACCAGGGAAGGAGAGTAAAAGCCACGGCGTCGGAAACGAGGCTGGGAGGGACCTCTTTCTTAATGTCCATTTTCCTTTGCCTCAAGATCCCGTGCTACACGTCCCGCTTCCCTTTTTATCCACTCATCAGGGTAACGTCTGTTTCCGCCTCTAGGAATGGAAGCTGGACACTCTGTGTGATCTGTACGAGACGCTGACCATCACCCAGGCCGTGATCTTCCTGAACACCAGGAGAAAAGTCGACTGGCTGACGGAGAAGATGCACGCTAGAGACTTCACCGTCTCTGCTCTGGTATGACCCCGCCCCCATCAACTCCTGATGTTTCTAAAAGCAAACTGTCAGCTGACGGCTGGTTTGGTTCACAGCACGGCGACATGGACCAGAAGGAGCGAGACGTGATCATGAGGGAGTTTCGATCCGGCTCCAGCAGAGTGTTGATCACTACGGATCTCCTGGTTGGTATAACTAACACATAAGAACTTATAATGTGATCCAAATGGTTTTTAAAATCCTGCTACGGTCCAAAAAATGGCCGAGTGGGAAAAACATTTGGGAGATAAGGGCTCGTTCTCCACAGTGGGTCCTTCTAACGTGGGAATCTGCTACTTTTATGCGGGCGACATTATTACTAATGTGGATAAAAATTAATTTGTGGTTCCGTTGATCCGTCATGTTTGAAACTCGTTTCTCTTCCTCCAAGGCTCGCGGGATCGACGTGCAGCAGGTTTCTCTGGTCATCAACTACGACCTTCCTACAAATCGAGAGAATTACATTCATAGGTGAGTTGATTCAAACGCTCCGAATAAAAAGGAGGGGACTAAGCCACAGGAGGGACTAACGCGGCTCCTCGTCTCTCCGCAGAATCGGCCGCGGCGGCCGCTTCGGCAGAAAAGGAGTCGCTATCAATTTCGTCACCGAGGAGGACAAGAGGATTCTTCGGGACATCGAGACGTTTTACAACACAACCGTGGAGGAGATGCCCATGAACGTGGCCGACCTGATTTGAGCCCCGAGGTTCTCGTTTGGGTTTTTTCTTTTTTACGCAGTGATAGCGATCGTTCACTTTGCATCGTGCTTATATTATTCGAGGGAAAAAAAAAACAAACTTCTCAATGCTAAACCTTGGATCAGATTTTTGGTATGCGTTAAAAGCGAGGTGACCTCGGTCCCTCCTGGACAGTTGTAGATCCTAACCTGGGCTGGTTGGAGCTACAAAGCCATGGGGTCTGTAAACATTAGGGTCCTTATCAGGTATTTCCTTTCATGTTTAAATAAGATGCGTGTATTCGATGTTCTCCACCATTTAGTAACTTACTTGTGGACTAAAAGGTATAAGTGCTGTATAAAGTCTGCAAATTATGTTATGCTAACATATGTGCGATGTCTTGTTGGCCTGCTAAATAGAGGCACTTGTCATGTTATACTGTAGAATCACTTGCTTTGGTTTCTTTTGTGAATGTTTAATTTAAATGTATCATAAATATTTTTTTTAATCCCATATATTATATCAGAGTTCCTGACCAGTCAGCCATGTTTTGCTGACTTGGTTTTACCTTAACAGAGTATATTACCTTTACCCCACAGACTCCTTTTCAGATTTCCTCCTCTCCTGAATTGTATGAATGTCTTAATAAATAAATTAATGTAAGTAAAGCTTTTTTTCTGTTGGGTGTATTTCAATGTGAAGGTTTTCAATTTTATTTTTATTTTATTTTTTTTTTAAGTCTATGGAGTGAATTTTGTTCCTTTGGAGGTGAATAACTTGTTTTGTAAATTGGAGGGAAGAAATGGAATTTAATAAATGTTTTATTTATAAAATGGGTCGCGGGACTAACTTGCAATTTTTTTTTTTTTTTTTTTTAAGAAATTATTTCACAAATTTTTATATTTTCAATAAAATTATTTTTCAAATTTCTTTTTTACAGGTTTTGTTTTTATCAGATTGACTTATAAATCATGTCACGGATCGTTTTCTCGGTGCTCGTTACCGACTCTCCCTCTCGACGCCCAATTTAAACAAAATTGTTATTTCTAACATTCATCTTCTCTCCCTTCCAGAGGAACGCCAGGTCTGAGAAATACTTAAAACTAAATTTTATAAAACTTAAAAAGTTCTAGCAAATGGTGAAAAAAAAGTGGTTTTAATAAAGCTGTTTTTATTATATGTTTTATTTCCCCTCTGAATATTTACAAGTTTCTTTTGCAACATTGAAACAAAATTCACTCCAATGGATTTATTACTGCCCTGTGAAGTGCTAAAAATGGTGTGGAGCTCCCTCTACTGGCAACAAGGAGTAACAAAAATGATGCTTTGTATATTTACAAAAATAAGGATGTCAGGGTTTCATTGGTCAGTGTCTAGACTCATTTAACCTTTTCATTACATGAGGACCCAAATTTGGGTCCTCGGCACTCGCCCCAAAATGGTTTTTAGACCTGTAACATATTCTCTGGGGTCTTGCCTTCATTTTGATACCAAAACAAGATATACTCTGTAGTTCTTGAGATATGTTCAATTCATTTTGGGCATGTTATTTTCAAGCATATTTCTCGAAAATAGGCCTAGTGTCCAAGAGGTTAAGGCATTAATGCCCTGAAATGAAATATTGTAATGAAGTGATTTACATTTTTTCCTTCTGACATTTCGACTAACATTTCTGAACTTTTCGACAAACCTGGAGTCTTAAGAGGAAAACCTGCAATTTCAAATTTGTATGCATATATTCATGCAATTGGAAAAGCATTTCCTAATTGGACAATTTAGAATTATTAAAGAGGAATTGTGATTTTATATTTAATAGTTTGAAATATCTTCAAATTCCCAAATTAAACATAAGTCTGATAAATTTACTAGGCCCATATGAGAAGTATTATTCCTTTTGTCATTTTCAACTTCCAACATTTTCAAATCCTTGTTGCTCCTCTGCTGCTTTATTTACCTGAAAACATCACAGCTGCTCTCTGATGTAATTAGCTTTCTCAATTTTTAGGAAAGCTTTTTGACAGATTAATTCTGGCGTTTAAACCTCCATTTAGAAATAGGACTTTCAAATTGCAGTACTAATTAATAGATTGATAGATACAACTTACAATCCCCCTTTAATATTTAAATTAAGATCTTAGTTTTCAATTGAGATTTCAAATTGCATAATTTTGATGCCAAATTTGAAGTTTTATTTTTCAGTGGCTCATCCAAACATTTGTCAAGAATTTGAAAAGAATCAGAGATATTTTAAGTGCTACAATAATCCTAAATTAGACTAAAAATAAAAATATTAATATTTGTGATTCACGGAAACTAAATCTTAGTGTTTTTTTTTTTTTTTTAAATATAAATGTATAAAAACCCAGAGTTTATGGTTAGATAAATTAGATGGTTGATTAAAAATCTTTTGGATGGTACAGAAAGTGTAACTTTTCATATAGAGTATTTGTTTAAACACCTTGGATCCACTATCATCTAGGTTAGTGTCATTATTATAAATAAAGCTGCAAAGCTGACATGTCGGAGAAAAAGGCTCCTCACAATTTAATTAACCTGATTATTAACCCTGCTGGATGGTAAAGTTATCCATTCTTTGCTTTTCTAAATGTAGAACAGCCAAACGACCAAAGGATGTGTTTAAAGTTCCCCGCCTCATAAAATCAAACAAAATAAGTTAATTGGTCTCTGGCCAATTAATGGAAATTGGCGCCCTCTCGTGGTTTGTACAGTGAATTACTGGAAATATTTTTTTATTCGGTGCAATATTAAAGGGATATCTCTGTTCCCTGATTTAATTAATTTAACCCATCTCTTTGGGAAGCAGTGGGCTGCCATCGTGGGGCGCCCGGGGAGCAGTGTCGGGTTAATTGTCAACCTCAGAATTCCAAGCTCTATGCCCTAAGTCCTAGACCGCTACTCTCCAAGGTAGTTATTTCACTGAGTAAATTATTTTTGACCATATATTGTTTAAAATAATTGGATTAAACTAAACCACAATTCCTTAAAACTGTCTGGGAACCATGAAACTCTTGATTCTATAAAATCATATGCACGGTGAAACCATTTCAATTTTATTTTAAATAGTTTAATAATAATGAAAGAAAATAAAAGTATTATCCAGGTTTCTTCAAAGTTGTTGTCGATGCTGATGGTTTTAGGCAGCATGCATCGCTGCCTCTGTTCTATAAAACTGACGAAATGGAAACTTTCTTTGCACGACCATCTGAACCACAGCAGACCTTACGACAGAGTCGCTCTTCTTGATCAGTCTGGTGAGACTTTTTAAGGCATTGGATCTGGTGTGCTATTCCAACAATAATGGCATCCTTTTTACAGAATAGAATAGAATTCTATTTTATTATTACACTGT